TATTTCCTAATATGCAAAAAGAAGACAGTAAAACCAAAGGAATGTTCCATAGAAGATGAGACTCTTCCAAATTATACACAAGTGTGTTCTCATGATTTGGGGCACATTTGGGATAAAACAGCTTGTACCAAGTGCTAAGAACATGAGACACCAGGAAGAAGAAAATTTACAGAGCTGTCCAAGTTAGAGACTACTTAATCAAACTTATTAATGAAGGATACCTGATCAAAAAAGCTAAAAGCTACAATTCTAAGATAGGATCAGGATAGGTTACAGGTCTACATACACAGAAACTGGTAGCTGCATACTAATTACAGGGTTGTGGGTGGGATTTTTTGTTTTGTTTTGAGAATTCTCAAATTTACCAATTTCATGAGAATACAAAGATACAATTCAGTGGACAACATGGTTTCACTTCAACTTGTGAAGAGAACCTGTGAAGAGTTGTAATAAGAGCCATAAAAAATGGTAAGGTCACATGTATTTTACCCTGGAATTTATTTTACTATGCAATATAAAGCTAAAGCTGCTGCTGATTCCCTTATAGCATTTGTGCACTGATACCCTGTTAAAGAAACTGAAAACCAAACCAAGTAAACATGCCCTTTGGGAAGCTGGTGAATAGATTCAAAATAAAATGAAAACCTAATTCAGAATGTTCCTACTCTCTACCTTTCCTTACTGAGTTGTTCTGTAATCTGAGAAGTCCATACACTCTAAAGATATGCTTCTAGTCAGACAAGTGGTTGGACATTTATGGATGGCTGATGGCAAATATCACCCAAAACTACTATAGAGGGAGCATAGTGAAGCACGGGTAAAGTTTATCTACAGAACCTACTGCGCTGTAGAAATTGCTTGTTATTTTGTCTTCTTCACTACACTGCAAGCTCCATGAGGTAAGAGACCTTGTAGGCCTGACTCACTGCTGTATCCATGATACATAATATTCATTCAATAGAAAAAAATATTGTTTTTGAGAGAAAGAGAGAGAGCGCAAGTGGAGGAAGGGCAGAGGGGGAGGCAGAGAGAGAGAATCTTAAGCAGGCTCCATGCCCAGCACTGCCCAGCAAGGAGCCTGATGCGGGGCTCAATCTCACCACCCTGGGATCATTACCTGAGCTGAAATCAAGAGCCGAGTGAGCCATCCGGGCACCCCGCATTCTATAAATACTGACTCACTGACTAAACACAGAGACACTATAACTCAAAGTCTAGTCATGAGCTTTAAAAATATAGGAACTTAGGGGCACCTGGGTGGCTCAGTCGGTTAAACGTACGACTTCGGCTCAGGTCATGATCTCACCACTCATGAGTTCGAGCCCTGTGTAAAGCTCTGTACTAACAGCTCAGAGCCAGGAGCCTGCTTCAGATTCTCTGTGTGTGTGTCTCTCTCTCTCTGCCCTTCCCCTGCTCCCACTATCTCTCTCTCTCTCTCAAAAATAAACATTTTTAAAAAATGTAATAACTTACGGGCAGCTGGCTGGCTCGGGGTTGCGAGATCAAGCCCCATACTGAGTGTGGAGAGTACCTAAATAAATAGGCTTAAAAAAAAATTAAGAACTTGTGCCATCCATTTATCTAAGGATGACTGGGATATACTAATTAAACTCACAAAGACCTGATTTAATAAACCAAAATGCTAAATGGCAAATATTAACTGGGATAACAATGTGAAGTTTTTCATCTGAATACAGCATCTTCTACTGGTCAAAAGGTGATTAAACACCAGAACAGAACAGGCTTTGTGAGCAGAGTATATGGAAGTAGAGAATCTCAGGGGAGATATTAATTTGCAGCTGACTGATCTTTATTTTTAGAGATGTAAACATCTCTATGTTTACAGAACAGATTATCTTTTAGAATCAAAGCACCACCTCGGACTAGTGCCAGCCAATTCCTACAAGGAAGCCACTCGTCCTTTTTCAATATTCTGTATCACTTACTGAAGGTTCTGCACCCAAATCCCAATGTGTACAGGGGCGGGGTGAGGTGCTTCCCCCCAACACTACCAAACAGTTGTCAGAAACCAGCTGGGTGTCCTACAATTCAATTGAGTTTTGACACTATCTACCTGGAGATACTGTCAGACCCCACAGGTTAAGGGTTCAGTTCTACAAAACTGCCCTAGTTGCAAGTCCAGGCGGTCATGGGTGCTATAGACCAGAGGTTCTGATGACTCCCTCCTTGGGTTTGATTTGCTAGAGTGGCTCCCAGAACTCAGAGAAACATTCTACTTACCAGGTTTACTGGTTTAGTATAAAAAGATATAACTCAGAAGCAGCCAGATGAAGAGATGCATAAGGGCAAAGTATGGGGAAAGAGTGCAGGGCTTCCCTGCCCTGAGGGTGTGCACCACTCTCCCAACACCACCCACTGTGTATTCACCAACCTGGAAGCTCTCCAAACACAGTCCTTTTGGGTTTTTATGGAGGCTTCATTATATAGGCATGATTGATTAAATCACTGGCCAGGGGCAATTGATTCGACCTCCAACCCTCTCCTCTCCCCATGCTGAAGGCTGGGGGATGGGACTGAAAGTTCCAACCCTCTAATCACAGGGCTGGGTCCCCTGGCAACCAGCCCCCATCATTAGGTTACCTAGGTGCTTTCCAAAAGTCGCCTCATTAACATAACAAAAGACACACTTATAGCACTTAGGAAATTCCAAAGGCGCTCTTTGCCAGAAACTGGACAAAGACCAAATATATTTCTTATTATTAATCACAATATCATAGTTACCAATAGCAATTCTAACCTTAAAATATTACTCTATTATAACTTGCAAGACTAAAGGTTGTCTCTTTGCTATTTACATTTTAATTTGTAGAATTCCAGAAGGGATTTTAGAGTTACTAGAAACTCAGTAGCTACTCATTTACACAGTTTGGAAAAAAAGTCTGCAGAGATGATTTCATACTTTATAAATTCCTATTTATGCTGTATATGTACAGTGATGCTTCTTGATGTGGCCCCCAGGCTGTGGGGCCTGAGCTTTACCACAGCCCTGTGCCTACCTATTATTATAAGGAGAAAGAGCAAGGAAGCCAGAGGAATATTTTAGGGCACTGATTTTCTATTCTGTTTTGGTATGGACTTATCTATAAGAATTTAATTAAATCTTCCATAACCTTCTTCCTAGAAAAATGCACATGCACACAAATGTTGATAAACTTTTTTGGCTGTTCCTGGATCCCCTAACACTTAATCATGGGTTCCAGCGTAAGGACTCTTGCCTTAAGGACATACCTACATACAGTCAAAGATAATGAATGTAGTCTAGTATTGGCTTGATATTAATTTGGAGTCATGCCATTAGACTGACAGGATGCCAAAGGCAAAGCCATCAATTAAAGAATGACTAAAGATCTAAACCAAAGGTCCTCCTTTATCAGGAACTGTAGTGATAAAACCATCATGTTGGCCATCTGCATCCATATTACAGCAATCAGTCCTGGTATCTTTAAATGCAACAGATGACATGTAGTATTAACAATATTTATTGAACATTTATTAGATGCCAAGCATTGTTCTAAGTGCTTTACATGAAATCATTTAATCTTTACAACCATCTAAGAGATAAGTGTATTTTCCTCATTTTAAAAATGAGAAAACAGGGGAGGCTGACTGGCTCAGTCAGTAGAGCATGTGACTCTTGATCTCAGAGTTTCGAGTTCAAGCCCCACATCGGGCCTGGAGCCTACTTAAAAAATAATAAATAATAAGCAATTAACAAACAAACAAACAAACAGAGATGCCTGGCTGGCTCAGTCAGTAGAGCATACAACTCTTGATCTCAGAGTTGTGAGTTCGAGTCCCACATCGGGTACAGAGGATAAAGATAAAATCTTAAAAACAAATAAATAAAAAGTAAAAAAATAAAAAATAAGTAAAAATGGGAAAACAGAAGCTTTCTAAGTATACATATTGGAGACCAAGAGGACCAAAGGTCGTATTTGCTTGTAGTGAGGTCTTTGTATACTTTGTGTGCTGGGATGAACCTAGCAGTATATCCATCAAAATCTATGTGATACTAAGCCACAATAAAATGGGGCCTACTAATGTTTGCTATAAGAATACTATGTTAAGGGGCACCCGGCTGGCTCAGTCAGCAGAGCATGTAATTCTTGTTCTCCGAGTCGGAGTTCAAGCCCCACGTTAAGTAATTAAGCGTACTTAATTTAAAAAAATAATAAAAGTGAAAAGAATATTATGGGGACTAATAAATTACCTGAGAAGGGCTTTGAACATTTTAAAAGAAACACACCTCAAACCCAAAAAATGTTCATACTTCTTTCAAATATGCAGAACTACCCATCATCTACACTTTAAAGAGATAACATCAGCACTGACATTCTTAGACTATGACACTCCCTCTTAAAACTTTCATTTTTTGGACCCACTTCAAAAAGCTTAAGTATTCTTAATAAAAGACAGGAGTTGGGGCAACTGCTGGGAATACTTGTGGAAATTGCCACCCTTTCATCAGTGAGGCCCGCTCCCAGTCAGGGATCTGAAATGACTTCACCATACATTCCGCAAACTGAATCCCCTCAACCTCGTGGGAACTAAGCCCCCAGGCAGTGAAGTTAGGGTGTGGTGACCTCACTCACATTCAAAACCTTTTTTAGCCTGCACGAGCACAGTCCTGGCTGGAACCTGCCTGAGACTTTTCAAATGCTTTTTTAATTAAAGCTACAATTTGCACTCCACCCTCCTAGTTCTCAAAGCAATTCAGAGAAAGTGGAAGGTCACTGACACTAGAGGAAGACAGAAATATTCTGGACATTATTCTAAAACTTTAATTTCTCAAGCAACTGAAAACCCACAAGTGACTAGGCTGCCAGTTGAGAAACTTGCTATTCTTAAATGCTGGTTATTGGCAATGTTCTCATATGATAAGAACCCAGCTCAGGGTCACAAGTATAAGGAAGCCTAACCAAAATATCACCTGAAAAACAATGATAATATTCCTTCTAACCAAAGTTAAATTTGCTTACAGTGAGGTCTTTGCATTCTTTGGGTGCTGGGAGAGCCCGACTTTATATTTTTCTGTAAAGCTTCATCAGAACCTTCCACAGCATCTTCAAGGCCTTGTTCAGAATCACTTGATTTTGATTCTCCTGCTTCATTTGTATTGGGCTTGTCAGGGTTTTCAGACATTCTCAATTAAGTTTATTCACTTTCCTAGGAAAGAAAAAAAAAGTGAACCAAAATGTTCTAGCTCTGTTACTAACCGGCAGTTGACTCTGGGCAAATCATTTATTCTCTTCGGGTTTCCATTTCTCATGTGTAATAATGAGTGGGCTTGCAAAGATCTTATCCAGCTATCATATTCTACCTCAATGATTAAACGATACCTGTAAAATGACACTTACAATTTATCAAATTCATGGACCTGTACCTCAGATAGAGTGACAGGTTTGAGTATTTTTGTCCCACTCCTAAGTCAAAACCAGGATCTTACACTGTTGGAAGATAACACTATAAACTGCCTGCTTCTATTTTGATCAAAGAGTGATTCAATTCTTCAATTCTTTCCTTTCTTTCCTGAGAGTGGAGAGGAAAAGCCTTTGGAAATCATGCTTTTAACTTGGGCTTCCAGTTGAATACACTGGGCCATGGAGCTGGTTCTCTGATCCTGTTATGTGGATAAGATACCTGGGGCTGACACATAGAAGGTAGAAGCATATGAAGCATTTAGGAATAATGTATGGGGCCAATATTTTTATTAACTTGTCAGCCGGCAGGAAAAGATGGTAAGTAGGAAGTTGCAAACAACCACGATGTATGGGGTTGGGTGGGGTTTTAATTTTTTTAGTTGCTGGTTAGAACAGGAATAATACTTAACGTGTTGGTTTGGGCCAGTTAAAAAAGGCCTGGAATACTAGCCTCTTTTTACCATACAAGTTTTTGTCAAGTTCTTTTCTCCCCGAGTTTTTTTCCTAGAGTTTTCTCTTCCTAAGGTGTTCCTAATTAAGGGAGAAGACAGACACAATGTTTCTGCATTCACAAGAATACTGCAAATAATTAGTATTTGTATCATCAACACTTGGAGATCACAAAACATTTTCATAAACGCTAATTAGACTTTATTATACACCTGGAGGGTAATCCAGGGATCAAAAGAAATGTTGGCAGCTTGGAAAAGGTCTGGCAGACTCTCTTTTGCCCATTAGACAGAGAAGAATCATTTGATATAATTACCTAGAATTTCAGATCCCTCCATTAAATAGAATGAAGTTACTGGAATTGACATTTCCAGGCCTGTATTATTTTTTTTAGGCCTGTATTATTAATATGAAGGTTTCTTTAATACAGTTCCCTCTTACCTTCCAACATCCCACTCCAGACACCCATCTCCTCTGTCCTAAATCCTATCAAGCTCTGGAAATGCTCCAAGATCCAAAAGACAACATTGCCAGCATATTCTCGGAGAAAGGACAAACAAATACACTTCTAATTTTATCCTCTTCACATGCTGAGAATGAGCTCAGAAAGGATGAAGTAACTCATTCTGCACAGTGAGGAGGAAGGCACGCTTTCTGGGTCTCTAATACTCAGCTCAGTGAACTAACCCCATCCTTTTAAGATTCTGCTCAAGTCCTACTCCTCTTAGGACACTTCCCCACAGTGTTTGCACCTCTCTCTGAACTCTTGTAGGGCTAGTTGCTGCGTGTCTAGCATGCACCATAGCCTTAGATCCAATTCAAAATATACTTATTTAAATAGGTCTGGGGGGGAGACATGCTTACAAGGAAACAGAACGAAACTGAAGCCCCGATGGCATTATGAAACCACTACGGGAACATAGTAGAGGGAGATACTAATTCTGCCTGTAAGGAGTTGGGATAACCTTCCCGGAAAAGGTGACATTTGAGCTGTTTTTTTTTTTTTTTTTTTTTTTTTTTTTTTTTTTTTTTTTTTTTTGGAAAGAGCAGGATTTCGTCCAATTAAAATATGTCCGGAGTGGGAGAGAAAAGGTGAAAAGGGAGGCATTTCACTCAAAGGGCACAGGTGAAGGCACACGAAAATAAATAGAAGAACAAGTGGCAGGTGATGAAGAGGGAAAGAGGAGTTGGGGCAATATTGGAAAATTGCTAGTTTTATTAAAAACAACAACAACAACAAAATTCTTCACCTAGATTTTTAACTTCTTAATGCCCAAGACCAACCATATTTCCCACATATGCTCCATCCGTATATCTTCCAAACAGATACCCAGTAAGTGTTTGTTGACAGCTGTGTCATCTCTGTGATGTCAGCGTGTGTGGGAAGGATGGGCGTTGGCCTCAGACATACCTGGGTTCCAATTCTGGCTCTTTACTAACTGTGAAACTTCAGTTTCCTCATCTGTAAAATGCAGCTACCCACTTCTTCGATTTGGGGGAAGATCAGACGACAGAACGTGCATAACAGCAGCTGGCACACTACAAGCTTTCCACAAATGGAAGCTATATTTATAGGGCTACAGGATGCAGCAAGGAACCATTTATTGCTTACAGCGTGCTCATTCATCCAACAATCACTAACTCCTGCTCCGCCTCAGAAGGGAACCGAGGGTAGGAGGATTCTCGCACTTGCCCTAGAGACCTTCTATCCGAGCTACATGCCGGGCCCCAGCTGCCACAAGAGACTCCCCACCAGAAAGGGTCTTTCAGCGAAGTAAAGGGGGTCTGTCCACCGATGCCGGGAACCGCTTCCTCTGGCACCCAGTGTCACTCACTCTCAGCGTCCAGATTCCGTTGTAAACAACTGTTCAGGCCGGCGAGGGAGTGGCGGGCCAGCAGCAAGCGATGGAAGCGGGGTGCGCTTTGAGCACGGCCTCGAGGGGTGGGACAAAGGCCGTCCTACGCCGCAACACGCCGCCGTCCCTGCCACTCCGTCGCCTCCACCCTACAGCACCGGGACCCGACCTCCCCGGAGGAGGCGAAGAAATGCCTGTGGTTTCCACCTCACGCCTCCCGTGCGGGCCCCGCAGGGCTGCCAGCCTCCGCGCCCGCTTCCCTCACCTGCCGCGGAGTCGGCGTGCTTCCTCCTGCCGCTCGGGCCGGGAATGAGACGGGAGGAGGCGCGGAGCGATGAGCGGCGAGCACGGGACGCTTCAGCCTCTATCCTTCCGAGGCCGCATCCCTCGCCGCGCTGAGGGCCGTCCTCCCTACCCGACTCCGGTGGGTAGCGGCCAAAGCGGCCGTTCCTCAAGCGTCGGGAAGGGGGAGGCAGCCTTTTAGCCGGGAGGCGCCCGCCCCGCGCAGGGCGGCGCCATGTTTCTGTACGGAAAGGCGGGAGGCGCGGCCCTGTCCGGACCCAGGGTGCTTAGTGAGAGGTGCTTCAGTCTAGGAGGCGCCCTGTTTCCGTATGTAGATGCGAGAGGTGGGCTCCGGGTCTGCGGAGGGGGCACAGTGGGCGGTGGCTCGGGACCTGGAGGTGCCCGCCCCACGCAGGGCGGCGCCATGTTTCCGTACAGAACGGCGGGCGCCTCTGAGAGAGTGTAAGGCGGGAGAGGAACGCGTGGTAGAGCTGGCACGGAGTCTGTCAAGTGAAAGAAAGCGATAGGCCGCTCATTCACAACCTCATTCAAAGCCTTCCCCGCCCGGGTTTTCAAATTTAAACATTACCATCGTGTCTTCTAGGTGCACATAATTTATCATCCTCCTCTAATTTGGGCTGTTAAGAAACAAACAAAGTCACGCCCACCACCTAGGTAGCCAAGCCTCACTTTAATGGCACAGACTCATTTTGGTTTTGAGGTCATCTCTTTTATCCAAGCGGATGCCACACTTGTCCATAGGAAGAGCGAGACTTCAGTCCTGAAAAGACGCCAGGCAGGGGGCAGTTTCCATGAGGGTTCCACTTGGTGTAGGTACAGAAACAGTAAGCACTTTGGGTGTTTTATGAACTGTGTTTTAGAAGGGAAAAAATATCATGGTTGAATGGATGAAGGAAATGTGGTATATATTATACAGTGGAATACTACTTGGCAATGAAAAAGAATAAAATCTTGCCATTTGCAACAATGTGGGTGGAACTGGAGGGTATTCTGCTAAGTGAAGTCAGAGAAAGACAATTATCACATTTTCACTCAAATGTGTAACTTGAGAAACTTAACAGAAGACCATAGGGGAAGGGAAGGAAAAATAAGTTACAGAGAGGGAGGCAAACCATAAGAGACTCTTAACTACAGAGAAAACTGAGGGTTGATGGGAGGGGGGGGAAGGTTGATGGGTGCTGGACATTGAAGGCACTTTTTGGGATGAGAGCTGGGTGTTGTATGTAAGTGATGAATCACAGAAATCTATCTACTCCTGAATTCAAGACTATAATGTATGTGAGCCAACTTGACAATAAATTTTTCAAAAAAAAAATTCATGCTAAAACAAGCTTGTTTTAGAGCTTCATCTCCATCACAGGTAGCAGGGACCATGCTTATCTTGGTGCTGGACTAGTGGGCTGCTCCAAGAAAACCATGCTTTTCTCACCTTGTAGCAAACTATGTGAATAGAAATAGTTTTGGGGCCAGGGTCGTTGGGTGGCTCAGTTGGTTAAGCATCCGACTCTTTTTTTTTTTTTTTTATGTTTTTATTTATTTTTGAGACAGAAAGAGACAGAGCATGAGCAGGGGAGGGGCAGAGAGAGAGGGAGGCACAGAATCCGAAGCAGGCTCCAGGCTCTGAGCTGTCAGCACAGAGCCCAACGTGGGGCTTGGCAAGCTCATGGGCTGTGAGATCATGACCTGAGCTGAAGTCGGACGCTTAACGCTTAACCGACTGAGCTACCCAGGTGCCCCAAGCATCTGACTCTTGATTCAGCTCAGGTCATGATCTCATGGTTGGTGAGTTCAAGCCCAGCATGAGGCTCTGTGCCATCAGCTTAGGATTCTCTCTCCTTCTCTCTCTGCCCCTCGCCCGCTCGCTCTCGTGTGCACTCTCAAAAAATAATAAATTAGTTAATTAAAAAATAGTTTTGGGGCCTAGTCTTAAAAAATAAAAGCTATGTGATTAATTGTTCATTTGTAAAAATGCTTTAAGACTGAGCATAAGTCATGTATGTCCTAAACCAAATGAAAGTAATAATTAAGTCTCCTACCTGTAACCCATAAAACTCATTAAATTTAAATAACTAGAACAAAGTAAGATGAAGTGAAGTTAGTGCTGTCAAACAATATTTCTAAATAGATCACACCCGGGCAATTATTCCTAAAGTGTTGGAGGCTGAGTGCAATACAATACCCTCAAACCATTCACAAACTAGCACGTTGGGTATTTTTTCTTAAATACACACACGCATAAAAGTCCTCGGATGAGGATTCACTTTAGAGAAAAAAAAAAAATCCTTAAAATACTCAACTAACTGGAACAAAGATTCACCAAGAAAACATTCAGTTCTCACTTCCATGTCCAGACTAATATACCATTAGTCTCTAGTGGTTCTCAACCCTAACTACATCCTAAAATCTGGGGGTGTGGAGCGTTCTAAAACTATCATCTGAAATTCTGGGGGTGATGCCAAGGCAGAACTGTTAAGCTTTCCAGGTGATTTGAACATACAGCCAGGCAAGAACCACCTCCCTAGGGAGACCCACCCTCTATGTCCACACACCTAGTGAGAATCCACTACCTTCTTTTAAGGATTAATATACACAGTTTTCACTTGTGGAGGGGATGTTGTTACACTATCAAAATTATTGATTTGACTTGCAGTGGCTTACTTGTAATCTTCTGATATATTTGGTTTCCTTTAAATATTAAAAACATACTGACACCTTCTGTGATTTTTTTGGGTTGCAAGGACTGGAAACTCAAATTACCTCAAAATAAAGGGAGTTCACTGAAAGGCCACTTAGGGTTTTGAAGAAGAAAGCTGGCAGCTGTTCTAGAGATCAGTACTATCCTATCAACTCCCCTAGACACAAAGGATCGCTCTCATCATACCTCTGCTCCTCGCTGCAGTCTCCTGTACTCCCTTCATAAAACAGACTAGCTTACTTTAATTGTTGCTCCCTAATTTGGATTTTTCTATACAGAATTTCACTGCCCAAGCTGATTTTTATGCAAACTCAAGTCATTTGCCTATAGGTAAGCTATCGATCAGTGCTTAGCCCTGTTCTACCCAGCTAGGGTAGTGGTAAAGCTCAGTCTCCTAGGCATCAGGTTGTGTAAGTGAGGATGGGTTCCCAAGAGGTTATCCTGGATGAATAAATGAGGGCACATAGCAAACAACATACAGTTCTAGTGGTACAGGAGGGCTCCCACAGCATTCAGGGTAGCACAGAACCCACAGTTTAAAACTTTGACCATGCAGTAAACATGACCAATTTTTCTTAAAACCTTATTCTATTCTTGCTTATGAAGGTTGAGGTAAATTGTGGTCTTGCTAGATTTTCCATGGAATTATCATCCCATTAGAATGCTGCTGCTTCTAGGACCACGACTATAACTAGGCAGTTCTGCCTTCCCCTGAAGGAGATGGTAGTTCTGTTTGCCAAATAATCATTACGTGCAAAGGTTGCAAGTCAGTACACACAGTTTTGCTCTGTACTAATGTACAGAGTCTCTAGATTAGTGGTTCTCAACCCTGACTACACCTTAGAATCTCCTGGGGGGGGGGGGGGGGGGCAGGCAGGAGTTCTAAAACTATCAGCTGAAACTCCAGGGGTGATGCCAGAGAACTGCCAAGCTTTCCAGGTGATTCCAGTGTGCAGCCAGGTAAGAACCACCCCCACACTCCCCATATGGTCTCACGGCACTTTCAGTAGTTTCTGAAAACTTCACACTTAAATCACAAACAAGCTTATCTTCTCTTTTTCACTACATTGTAAAGAGAGTTACCTTCCCTTCTTGCCTATGAAAACAAAGCCAAAAAACAAAAACCACACAAGGTTAGGGATCACAGGTACATTATAGAGGAGTCCTCAACTTTCTCCCATTTAAAGACTAGTATCCGTTATAGGTTAGAAAATAAAAGATTGACATGCCAGCACATTGGCTTGTCATTTGAGTCTTTCCTACCTCTGTTTTTCAAAAAAAAATTTAAGTAATCTCTATACCTAATGTGGGGTTTGAACCACAACCCTGAGATCAAGAGTTACACGCTCAGACTGAGCCAGCCAGGCACTCCTCCCTACCTCTGTTTAAATGTAGGCAGCAGTATCTCTAAGTAGATAAAATTTAGTTTCATTTTATTTAATGTTTATTTTTTATAGACAAGACAGAGTACAAGCAGGGGAGGGCAGACAGAGGGAGACACAGAACCCGAAGCAGGCTCCAGGCCTCTGAGCTGTCAGCATAGAACCCAGCACGAGGAGAAACGAGAAAGATTCAAAAGAACATATAAATTAAGAGACTTACAAAGCTCATTAATCAATTGCAATTTATGGACTTTAATGGATCCCTATTTGAATAAACTGTCAAAATCATGTGAGATCAGAAAACGTAACTACTGAATGCATATTTGATGGTATTAAGGAATTGTGGGTTTGTGTGTATATAATATACTGTGGTTGGTTTTTTAATGTCCTGTTTTAGCTACACATTCTGAACTTTTATACATGAAGTGATATGTCTGAAGTTTGCTGGGGTGGGAGCAAAGAATGCATGGGGGTATAGATTAAATGAGATTGGCCATCAGTTGGCAATTGTTGAAACTGGATAATGAGTATGTGGAAGTTATTCTATTATTCCATTCTCCCCCATTTTTATATATGTTTGAAGTTTTCCACAATAAACCTAAAAAAATGAAGTTTTCAAAATCATTAGGACAGTTCAATTTCTGACTTGTCTGTTTGTGGTAATTACCAAATTCATTTTATCATAGCCTGAATTTCTATTTTATATCTTTAAGGAGTACCTTTCAAGGTAAAAACCACAGTCCTATTAACTGTTAATTAGACTTCCTTACTATTTAATACTGTTATGTAAACACTGCAATGTCATATCATTATATTCCTATGATGTTCTATAAAGTATTGGGCAGAGTAATTATAAATCAACTCACCCTAAACAGGTCAATACTTAACAGCAATACACCATCTAATACTCAGTTTATACAAAAAACATTTTATTAAGTACAATTTCATATTTAGAACACCCAAGATTACAAATGTGATTAGGTATTTGGGATACATAATTTATTCTTAAAATACATAAGTTATACACAGACATTAAAAACTCAGTCTCCAAAATACTCAATAAAGATGTCTGGATGACACTTGTAGAACTGACCTAGCAATTTTTTCTTCTCTTTGGCAGATAGTTTTGAATCCTCATCAATAGTTTTTAGTAAATTCATTAGTTCATCCTTAGTTGTCTTCTGGGTATAGTCAGAATAATCACTTTGATCAATTCTCTGGCAATATATATATCCTTCAAGTTTAAAAGTAAAAAGTTCAATTAATGAATCTATTCCTCAGATTTAACTAAAAAAAATAATATATTCACATTTCTATTTTTATTCCCCAGTTTTTTTTTTTTTTTAATTTTTTTTTTTTAACGTTTATTTATTTTTGAGACAGAGAGAGACACAGCATGAACGGGGGAGGGGCAGAGAGAGAGGGAGACACAGAATCGGAAGCAGGCTCCAGGCTCTGAGCCATCAGCCCAGAGCCTGACGCGGGGCTCGAACTCAAGGACCGTGAGATCGTGACCTGAGCTGAAGTTGGATGCTTAACCGACTGAGCCACCCAGGCGCCCCTCCCCAGTTTTTAAAATGCAATGAAGATGCTAAGCACTGCTGACTTTCTAACCTTGGTTACTTTTTTTTTTTTTAAGTTTATTTTTGAGAGAGAGAGAGATAGAGCACAAGTCGTGAAGGGGCAAGGAGACAGAAGAGGCAGAGAATCCCAAGCAAGCTCCGTGCCGTCAGCACAGAGCCTGATACAGGGCTCGAACTCACAAACCACGAGATCATGACCCCAGCCTAAGTCAAGAGTAAGACGCCTGACTGACTGACTGAGCCACCCAGGCTCCCCAGGTCAAGTTACTTTTTGACATAAGGAGGGTCTCTGCCAAGTCTGGGTAACTCCAAGGAGTTTAAAGTTTAATTGAAATTAAAGTGCAACTACTTACAGCAAGACTTTCAAATAAATAACTAGGAATTTAGCTTTGAAAGATCATGAAAACACTATTTCTCAGATTACCTGTATCTCTATTTGGATCTCTTCCTTTCTGAATGGCCATGAGCTTAACACTAACAATTTTATGTAGAGTTCCTGGAATCTTAAAAAAAAAAAAAAAAAAAAAAAAAAGAGGAGGGACATGGGACATTATTCAAATGCATTGCAATCTAGTGATCATTACATAAACTCAATTTAACTACTTTCAGAATTTTACCTTAAAAACATCTTTTTGATGATCCATTAAAAAGAGTACCAGAAGATCAGTTTTGCCTTTGGATAAATTTTTATTGTCAACAATAGCTTTTGAGAATATCCTTTTCACAACCATTCGGTTGTCGCTCTATAAAAATAAAAACACACCCAATAGTGTATATTTGAACTAAATTTAATATAAAAGGCAATATTAAGTATTAATAGCTATTCATTTCAGCATACTTGGTGCCAATGTAAAATAATCTGACATGTGCATCCTGTAAGTATTAAGGCTACTGAATACAATTAACATTTAGACGAAAGACTTACTTCTTTCTGTAATTTAAATTCAGAAGGATGTGCTGCAACAGCCATGAAATACAGTAGTCTTCTAAATTCTTCTCTATTTTGGGAATCCAAAAGCTTTAGAAAGAGCTGAGTAGCTTCTAATGCTATTTCAGTCTTCCCATTCACTTCAGCCAAAAGAAAAAACGGCTTTTAATTTTGACCAAGAGGGACTATTAAAGGAACAAAATTCAAGTTAAAGCTTAAGTTAAACAGTAAACTTATTCAAAACTATTTTCAAAAGCAAAACAAAACAAAAAGACGAGGAATTACAATAAATGACCAGTACCAATCTTCAACACAGCCTATTCTCAAATTGACAACTCATTCCCTAAATCCTTGTCAAAATTAACAATCTTAGGATGTTGTATCAAATTCTTGGCTTTGAAAATAAATTCCCAGCCTGCTTTTCATTAATTCAATACATTTCAAGTGTACACTATGTGTAAAGTACTGATGTATCCAACTCTACCTGAGAAAAATAGACAGGATTCTCTGAAACCCCCGATTTGTTTTCAACAAACCATGAGGAACAGTCTGGCTCATTGGTAGAGGGACAGAGTGTCTGCCATTTTGAAGAGAACGGAGTGGGAAGAGTGGTGATGTTGGTGTGCTTTCTACAGAAGAGAACTACCACGCTATACTTGTTAAACTTCCAGTGAATGAGGGTAGCATTCTCCTGTGCCAACGGAAGTTCCTGTGTAACTTTACAGCTTATTAAAGCCTCTTTCCAAGTCAGCCCTAGAAGTTTTGGAATAAACATACTTTCCATGGATTAATCCAGATCCACTCCCAGCTTGAAGTAGTGCCATTTTGGTTAATTCTGAGGATAATTAACTTCTTCCTGTTTTTTCCAAAAGACACATTCCAGGATCCAGTAAGCTCTTACTTACCTAAGAGTTCTGCAATGCCATTATGAACATCAGATAAATGATTTAACAGGGGTTCCCTACTACTGTAATATTTGCCAATGGCATCAAACAGAAGTTCTTTCACTAGGTCTATCCTATCTGGTTGCTCGGGAAAGTTTCTGCTTATGTCCACCACCATCTGATCAGGAAGGTATTCTAAGCAGTCAGTTGCTGCAGAGAGCCATTCATCTTCCCTATGGGGAAAAAAGAATTATTTTATTTTAAACAGCAAAAAAGCAACAAATGTACACACAGTACTTACTACCTATCTCAAGTCTGCCATGAAGATAGATTTCTATATCCTTAAAGATACATGTAATTCTTTTTAAAATATTGGTAGATCATGTATCACAGACCAAAAGCTTGGCTTAATAGGTCTTCTCTCTTTTTCTTTTTTTCTTTTGAAGGGAAAACAGAAGCTATCCACTACAATATCAACTAAAAAGGACATCAAAATTCAAAGTCTACTCTTGAAATTTATGACAGAGGCCCAGAAACTCTGAGTTACATGCTCAGGGTCCCAGGCAGTACTAGATCCCAGATCTCACTCCTAGACCAGTACTTTTCTAATACAATCTTGCTTACTTCACAGCTCTGTGTGTGATCAATCCTCTCACACTTTGGCTAGGAGAGAATAGAGGAAGATAAGGTAGGGTGTCAAAATAATTAATTTCTACTTCTAATAAAATGCCAGCAGGGTAACTTCAGAAAAATGCTACAGTTCAAAAAATAGAATGAATAGCTTTTAATATTCAACTTGTTAATGTACATATGTATTTTATATATAGTTTTTAAAAAATCATGCACTCTACTGCCATGAACTCAGGACAACTAATTCTGTCACCACTCAGGTGCACTATATCGGGCAGGTCACGTCACCCTTCTGGGCATCAGCTTCATCAAGTTAATGGTAAGATGCAGCTAGATGATCTTTAAGGTCATTTTTAACACAGTTTCTAACTCTGTATTTAAAATTTAAGGTAATTATAAAATGTTTTCAGGGGCACTTGGGTAGCTCAGTTGGTTAAGCAGCGGACTCTTGATTTTGGCTCAGGTCATGATCTCACATTGACAGTGTGGAGCCTGCTGGGGATTCTCTCTCTCTCCCTCTGTCCCACGTGCTTGCTCTCTCCCAAAATAAAATAAAATAAAAAATGTTTTCATGTTACTTTAAATTCTTTTTTTTAAAAGAATTATGTAGGATTTAATCTTTTTTAACTCTAAAATTCTTATTGATTAATAAGCCTCCTATTGTATACACAGAGTCAATAACTAGTATGTTGGGATTAACTGCTTTTTGCATAAGGTTTTAAGCTACCTTTTGACATTCAACTATTAATAGTTCATTGGACTGTAGAACTTATGAAGTACTGAAAATGTAAGTTGCATTCCTTTGAAACATTTCTATCTCCCTAACTACTGAATGCTATCTGCTAAGGCAAAATAATTAAACATTAAATAAGCTATAAGAAATAAAAAATACAAGATTTTAACATGTGATAATTTTACTTAGGAGAAGAGTTTCAAAGTTATAAGGAATATAGAACTCTTCCTTAAGGAAAAAAAAAATCATATTTCCCTTAGCACCTGAAGTGAAGCCTTCATACCTTAAGATTTATATTTGGAAGAATGATAGTCAGATATGAGAACAAGAGTTACTTTCATTATATTTCTTTAACAAAACAATTAAAAATACATATTCAAGATATTCTGGAGAAGTATAAAAATATAGGTAGTCAAAGGATTCTGAGAATTTGCCAAATCTGTTAATTTTTTTCCAAGCCCTTTGAAGACCAGAGAGGCCTACATTTAAAAAAAATTTTTTATATTGTGTTCTTCCATTTATTTTTTTTCCTTTTATTTTTTCCTAATATGAAACTCATTGTCAAATTGGTTTCCATACAACCCCCAGTGCTGCCCTACATTTTAACAGAGAGAAGATGGAACATAATCATCTTCTTCACTTGATGCGCAAGTGAAGGTATGTGTGAAACAAAAATGAATATAAAAAATAATGAAAATTAAATCTTTTTCTAATTTTGACCAAGGTAATTTTGTTCTTCACTTTCCTAAGTACTGATAATTATCAATTGACTAATGCATCTCTGATCCTATGGACAGAACTCAAAGGATTATCTTCAAACCATTATCTATAATCTTCCTAAAAACACACTCAAATTATTATATGGATGTATTTCCACATACTGAGAGTCACTATAAGCCTTGAGAATCCCTCGATCCAGATAGTTACTGTTGTTGATCAAGTCAGGTTGCCTCTTAGGCTGAGGAACTTTAGATACAACCTCTTGCTGTTTGAGTAAAGAGTCAAGAAGTGGAAGGTCTACAAGCTGCAGCAGACGTCCAATTGTTTCTTCTTGCCATACTTCATTAATAACTACACAGGAAAAATGACAAGGTAAAAAGTAACAATATTTATTAAATGCTCACCACAGTATTTGTCTAGGCAAGTCTAAGGTAGAAGTTTGTGACAAAAAAAAAAAAAAAAAAAAAAAAAAGGAAAGGGAAAGGGAAAAAAGTCAATCTTATGAAGTGGTTTCTTATGAGAAAATAAAAACAATTCAAGATTTGTTTAAAGTGTAGGAGAACAGACTTGGACAACAGGAATTCTTTTCATTCTTGTACTGTAAAAAGCAATATGGCAGAGATAAGAGATCAAGTCATATAACATGTTAATAAGGACTTTGGAAGAAAGAATGATTCATTATTCAATCTGAAAACTGGTTTGAAACTATTGGCTGCAGATTATTCCACTCAGGGTTTCCACAACTAGGATGGGGGAGGGAAGGTGGAAATCGGTCATGAGTCTTCAATCCTTTGCCAAAGACCAGGAAGAACATAAGAGTTCTGTTAATGTTAAACATTAATAATGTAATTTTCAAAATTTTATTTAGCCTAATAAAATGTTAGAGAAAGAAATATCTGAGAGCATATTTTAAATAAATAAAAATCCGCACGCAAAACACTGCAGATTTGAACCTCTGCCAGCTGATAGGACAAAAGTCAGTGTTCAAGAATTGCAACACTGATCTATTTGTTAAAGATAATAGACCTCTGTTAAAACTTAATATAAACAGCTTTAATACACAGTGTGCTCTTTCTTTGTGGTTTGAATATTTAAATTCTAATAAAGGTTAAGACTGAAAATTTTTAAATAACTAACTTTATCTGAAGTTGGTCTTCTGTATTTCTTGCTTGTATCATCTTTACTTACCTTGTGGAGACAAGGTTGTAGACATGTTTATGTGAGGGTAGTTAGCAGGCTTTAAACTCAGATTTTCCCAGAGATCCTCTAAACTTGCCGATTTGGAATCAGAGGACTTAAATAATGCATCTGAATACCTAAAATGAATTTTTTTTAAATTAATGTTTAGTAGTAAGCCCAGAGAAATATCTTACTGTTAGAAAGCTAAGAGTTTCTACATAGTTTATTTAGTTCAGAACAAAAACAAAACAAATGCAAATTCTAACAACAGAATACAAAAACATGCACCTTCTTTCTCAAGTCTAAATACACATACTCTAAATTCTCCTTTGAACATTTAGATTTTAATTTTTTTTACATTTTATTTATTTTTGAGAGAGAGACAGAGCACAAGTGGGGGAGGGGCAGAGAGAGACAGAGACACAGAATCCGAAGCAGGCTCCAGGCTCTGAGCTGTCAGCACAGAGCCCGACATGGGGCTGGAACTCACGAACCGCGAGATCATGACCTGAGCCCAAGTCGGACGCTTAACCAACTGAGCCACCCAGGCACCCCTGAACATTTAGATTTAAGTAATTCGATGATTAAAATTTTGGTCTCCTATTTTAGAATGTAATCAAACTTTATTATGCTGTTTTTTATCAGTTATGTCTATTTCTGGGGCATCCTTCGGTGGATAGTGCTCATCATTTTCCAAATACAGAGCTGATAATCCTTTACCCACAATTCTCAAACCCAAAAAGCTGTGAAAAATTTAAAGTTTATTCAGAACTCATATGGTGGCAAAAGCTAACCTGAGACTATCATAGCCTTTCCTTCTCCCAGTTAGGAGTATTTTGTTTACTTAAGAAATACTAATACGTTCGGTTACCAGATGCTGCCCAGGATCCCTCCAGGACTGTTATCAAACATATGGTCTATATACAAAAGTATCTTTTTAAGATCTCCAAAGCTCCAAATTGCTAAATGCATATAGCCCCAAAGGTTTCAGATAAAGTATGTGGACCTGTATCTGGAAAGCAGGGATTCTGCCCTATCTCACCCTCATATCTCCTTCCTATATTTAGAGGTAATTTTATCATCTTTTAAAGTTTTGAAAGTTAATACATTAAAATATTTGATACACTAGAGACATTAAAAATACACAATATCTGATACACAATACACTAAAAATAACTGAAAGTCGGGAAGACTAAAACTCTTTGGGTCAGATCTGAATTATAAGGCTTCAGTTGCATGGTCCCCTCTACACAGTTTAGCTCAAGGAAATGGAAACATTTTACTTCATGACAAATAAGTTAATTATGTACTTATCACATTCACCCATTTCAGTCACTGGGTTCTACAATTCTGTCCCCCAGTCTCCCTTTAACTGATTCCCTCTTCACCACAATCCCCACTTCACCCCCGTCTATAGAGTGCAATACTGCAATAGATTCCTAACTAGCTCTCCCCATTAGGATGTCCAGATGGCCGCCAGGATGACCTTTCTAAAATATAATGTCACTTTTTTGTGGCCTCCCCAACATCTGTATGATCGATTGCAAACTCAAGTCACATGAAACTCTCCGCACTCTGGGTCCCACATGCCTTTCATACTTCACATCTGCCATTTCCTAGATTCTAGTGATAACTTACCTGCCTACCTTCACATTTTCTGTTCTCATACCACTTTGTGCATAAAACATACTTTTATGCTATAATGGTAACTTGAAGCAGAAAAATCAAAGTTTGTTGACTGTTTCTGCTAAATATAAAATATGAACAAGCAAGAATTCCAGGAGATACTGAATAAACAAAAGTTCACTGTATTTTATCAAATTTACCCACAGACCCAGATTTTAGCCTCATTTACGGTTTCCAAAATAATATAAAACCATTCAGCCTGTTGCTAAAAAGTAGATGAAATCCTGCCAATACCCCCAGGATAATCTAACATTATATACTAACCTGGAAGGTGAACATAGTTTATTCTCTTTGCCTAATTGACTGTCTTGGTTAGGTATGGTTGTGAATCTATAAAGGCTGCAACTACTATCTTCAAATGTAGGTTTTTTGTCTTTTCCAAAGACTTTGGTTGGAACTGCTTCAAATACTTTGTAGTCCATAAGTGCTTGACACACTCTTACCACTTTGGCCCGAGGAATATCTACATCACCAAAATATTTATTCTGAATTAGGTGAGAAAAAATGACATCCACAGCTTCTGAACCAACAAAGCAGTCATTGTGTCTTTTTAAATGGTGTCTTCGTTTTTTCACCTCCACCTGTGTTTGAAGAGTGTTTATAATGCTGCTCCACACATAGGTGGCTCCGAATGGTTTCTGGGCCACGCTGAAACCTGGAATGGGAAAAACGCAGAGTAACCTTGTTCATTTATAATAAGGTCTAAGCAATCCTTAAACAAAAAATACCCATTTCAGGGGCACCTGGGTGGCTCAGTCGGTTAAACGTCCGACTTCAGCTCAGGTCATGATCATGCTGTCCGTGGGTTCGAGCCCTGTGTCAGGCTCTTTGCTGACAGCTCAGAGCCTGGAGCCTGCTTCAGATTCTGTGTCTCCCTCTCTCTCTGCCCCTCCCCCGCTCATGCTCTGTCTCTGTCAAAAATTAACATTAAAAAAAATTTTTTTTAAATAAAAAAATAAATAAACATTAAAAAAAAAAAAAAGGAGCCATTTCAGGGGAGCCTGGGTGGCTCAGTCGGCTAAACATACAACTCTTGGTTTCAGCTCAAGTAATGATCTCACGGGTTCGTGAGTTCAAGCTCCACGACAGGCTCTGCGCTGGTGGCATGGAGCCTGCCTGGGATATTCTCTCTCTCTCTCTCTGCCCCTCCCTCTCTTCCCTCTCTCAAAAATAAGTAAAATAAACTTTAAAAAAGTAGCAATTTCCAAAGTTGTTACTAAGGAACAATTATGAGGTCAGTTTATTACTGAAATTTTAATTAGTAGCAAATCATTTAAAATGTAGTGCCTACTTTATGCTGAACACTGTCCTACATGTTAGGATACAAAGGTGAGGAAAATCAAATCCCTGTTTACATGGACTTATACTTTGTGGGAAGATACAAACAATATGTACATGTTATATGAATGCTAACAAGAAAAATAAAGCCTGGTGAGGAAAGAACACTATTTCAGATGGATGTCAGGAAAGATCTGACAAGGTGATTTCTGAGCAGAAGCTGGAGTAAAATCAGGAAGCAAGCTGTGCAGATATTTGGGGAAAGAAAACAGAAAGAGCAAAGGCTCTAGAAACCGAGTGTGTCTGGCCAGGAGAGGAGGAACAAGGCCAGCATGCCCAAGGTGGGTAGCCAGGGAAAGAACAGTAGGAAATGAGATCAGAGGAGAGTGGAAATGGTCTTTGGGGTGGGGTATCAAGTAGGACCTTGTGGCAGTTACCAATTATGTGTAAGGAACTCTATTAAGTGCCTTATGAATTACATTACAACATTAGCAACCGTATGAGGTAGATATAATCTCAGAGAAGCAAAATAGATTCGCAGAGGTTAAATGTAACTTCCAAACATTATACTGTTAAGAGATGGTATTGGAATTTGGTTCATGGTCTATATGATTTTAAAGCATTTATCAGTAAATAGATGTATAATTATAGACATACATACACACAGCAGTTGGAATAAACTAATATTTTTTTTATAAATTTTTTTGAACGTTTATTTATTTTTGAGACAGAGAGAGACAGAGCACGAACGGGGGAGGAGCAGAGAGAGAGGGTGACACAGAATCAGAAGCAGGCTCCAGGCTCTGAGCCATCAGCCCAGAGCCTGACGCAGGGCTCGAACTCACGGACCGCGAGATCGTGACCTGAGCTGAAGTTGGATGCTTAACCGACTAAGCCACCCAGGCGCCCCTAAACTAATATTTTTAAAGCTTCCTACTATGCAGGCTTAAGAGTTAAGCACTTTGTAACAGGGAAAACTGGTTCCTGCCTGATAGGAGCTTACAACCTACCACAAAGATAGGAAAAGCACAGAGATAAAGCAAGGTTTCAGCAAGACAGGAAACAGAAAACATGCTTTCAAAGATTTATCATGTTTTTCCTGATTTTAATAAACTGATATTTGGCAAAACTACAAAGAAAAGGAGAAACAATAAAAAGGAAAACACAGACCTTCGTTTAATAAGCTGATGGAACAGAGTCTAGCTAATCATAAGCTTGGTGGCTGGGTGGCTTGCTCTCTTTTTACATAAACACAGACTGTGCGTTTTTATGTGTTACAATTTTCAATGATGCTCTGAATATTCAGTGGTTCTAATTTTTAAGCCTCTATTTTTGTTAAGTGGATCACTTCCTTTATTTTTAGGATTCTCTGACAGAGAAGTTGAAAACTTACTACTTCCCTTAAGGTCATGTAAAAAGGAAAACTGTATCACTACAACTCTAAGGAATAAGAGAATTATAATTACAGAAACTGCTACCTGAAATTATCTTCCTGCCTGTTTAGATAAAATAGAATGTATAAGATGAAAGCAAAGATAAGTTCCTGAAAGACATTAAAACTCCACTTAATGCACTAGGGTCATAAATTTTAAGTGGGTCATCTGGAATTCGTCTTTTGTATTATAATACATAAAAGAACCACAGTGAACCATCACACTGTATCAACTTGCAGTGCCATTTTGTAGCTACTAGAAATTTGAACATCTTCACTATTTAAGTTACTAACATACACACAAAGCCCTTTACTGTTTATTTGTATATTTCCAATACCAAAAGTAGATGGGTAATTCAACTATCTACCAATTACTTTAACGTTCATTTAAAATAATCAGCAAGACTGTTTTTGTATTTTAAAATTCAAGATACTTCAGGAAAGGAGTGCCTGGGTGGCTCAGTCGGTTAAGTATCCCACTCTTGATTTCCGCTTAGGTCATGATCTCACAGTCATGAGATCAAGCCCCAGGTTGGTCGGGCTCCACACTCAGTGTGGAGCCTGTTTGGGATTCCCTTTCCTCTCTCTCTGCCCCTTCCATGCTTGCACGTGCACTCTCTCTCTCAAAAACAAACATTTAAAAAATAATAAAAATAAAAACAAAATTCAAGGGGTGCCTGGGTGGCTCAGATGGTTAAGCGTCTGACTTCAGCTCAGGTCATGACCTCACAGTTTATGGGTTCAAGCCCCACGTTGGGCTCCGTGCTGACATTTCAGAGCCTGGAGCCTGCTTCAGATTCTGTGTCTCCCCTTCCCCCTTCTGCCCCTCCCCTGTTTGTGCTTGCTCTCAAAAATAAACAAACATTTAAAAAATATTTAAAAACAGTAGTCATTAAATAAATACAGTATTCATTAGTCCTAAAATAGAGGATATCATAAATTCCATAATATATACTAGTCACAGTATGCAGGAGTAGGACAGCAAAGGAAAATAAGATTTGAACTTGTAGAGATCAGAGTGCTTTTCAAGTAGATTGAAATAGACTTCTGGGTAATAATGTTAAATCTGAAACACATCAGTCTTAACAGTTGAATTACAAGTAGGTAAGTATACAAATCCTAAAAAATAAGGCTGAGTCACTAATTTGAGATCAACAAGACCACAGAATGGAGTGGGAGGGAGGGGACACTCAGTTTCAGCGACATGGAAAAGGCTAATCTTCAACCGGGGAGTTAAGAATAAATTTCCCCATATTAACTTGCTGCTTATTTTGCAGGTTGGATAACACAGTATAAAAGATTAAAGAACAGGTTAGAGCAGGATACTAGGCACCTATGAACCACACAATGTTTCCAGAGTCCTCCAGGCATGATACAATTCAGCCCTTTCAGGTCCCCTCTGTTCTCACTGACCATTAATTCCCTACCATTGCATCCTGGGATATTTCCCCTCAAGCATCACCACCCACAGACCCAAAGTAGCTCATGTTCATACAGATACTTTAATACATAATATACCCTGGACTTGACAAGTAAATACATAATATACCCTGGACTTTAATACATAATATACCCTGGACTGTGCCAAAACCCACACCAGGATAACCTGTTTTTTTAATGCTGACTTCACCAGTTGAACACAGGTCCCCCACATGCTGGTTTGAAACTTATTTATCATCTAAGAGCTGAAATGAATATTGGTATAGTAGACCATGGCCCAGTAAGACAAATTACTGCAACTTCCAACCAGAATTCAAGAGACCAGAAGTATACAATGAATGCTTTGTAAATCTAGCAATCAGAATTTTAGCCTGTCTCCAGCCCTCACTTGCATATGAGCTAGACATTTCTTTAAAATTCATCACTATCTGCATCCTTGATACTTCCTTATTTAATTTACATTTGGTCAAGCATGTTCTAAAAGCATCATGACCAAAGGATCAAAGAGTCTAGAGATCAGCTGTGATAACCTTGGATAAGAGAGTTAACCTCTATAGGTCGGTTTCTTCATTTACTGATACAAGAGTGGAACACTGTGTTTAAGGTTAGTTTCCAGTCTAAACTGCTGAATATAGGATTTGAGAGATTGAAATTCTACCCCATCTCCACTTAGATATGGACATTGAACACGACATAAAATATGGTAAGAAATGAAGCATAGGAACAAATGTGACCTTATCAGATACAACGTTTTTTGGAAGATGTCTGAGCCTAATAAGAGGCTCAGAAATTGTTTTAAACTAGATATATAATATACTATACATACTCTTAAGCACTATATAAATCTAGACTAGTTAACATTCACTTTTCAAGCATTCATTTTTGTTTGAAAATAGTTATTTTTCAAAGGCAAAGACCTGTTCTTTGCATGTATTTGAAATCTACCCAAAAGAATTTACCAAGAATAAAAAAGTTAAATTTCTAATATTGAACTCTGATATATATTTGTAATACTACTGATAATCATCTTCATTTCTATAAATATACACTAAATAAACAAGTTGTTACAATAATTCCCTAAAAATCAAGCCATAAGGCAGATATGTCAAGAAATTACATTTACTCAAAAGTCACAAAGGGACAATCAGCTTCAACCACGATCTGTGCAGCACCTCTACCATGGCCCTGCTTGTGTTATTTAAAGGCAAAAACAGGGGCACCTGGGTGGCGCAGTCGGTTAAGCGTCCGACTTCAGCCAGGTCACAATCTCGCGGTCCGGGAGCTCGAGCCCCGCGTCGGGCTCTGGGCTGATGGCTCAGAGCCTGGAGCCTGTTTCCGATTCTGTGTCTCCCTCTCTCTCTGCCCCTCCCCCGTTCATGCTCTGTCTCTCTCTGTCCCAAAAATAAATAAATGTTGAAAAAAAAAAAATTTAAAGGCAAAAACAAATTCTATCATCACTTCAAATTCGAAGGATTACTGAACTCCGTAGAAGATCAATATATACATTACAAAAATGGATCCTGATGCAAGGTAAACACAATTATGAAAACATGCTTTAAAAATTTTTTTTATGTTTATTTTTGAGAGACAGAGACACAGAGGGAGCACAAGGGAGCAGGGGCAGAATCCCCAGGCTTCAGGCTCCACAGTCAGTGCAGAGCCGACTGGGGGCTCAAACCCATAAACCACAAGGTTATCACCTGAGCAGAAGTCTGACACTTAACCAACTGAGCCACCCAGGTACCCCCCAAAACATGCTACTTCTAAATTAACATGTAAGAATCTCGTTTTCATTCCTAGGCATTAGACTGCCCCCACCGCACAGGAAAAAAAACAAAAAACAAAAAACAATTCAGATAGCTCATGTTAGGCAATTTTCCACAAACTTGAACAGTGAAAAATAAGTGCCTTATTTTTTTTCAAATGTCCTTATAGTTTGCAAAAGTTCAAATTATTTAATTGCCTTATAAACTGCCTCACTGGGGCGCCTGGGTGGCGCAGTCGGTTAAGCGTCCGACTTCAGCCAGGTCACGATCTCGCGGTCCGTGAGTTCAAGCCCCGCGTCAGGCTCTGGGCTGATGGCTCGGAGCCTGGAGCCTGTTTCTGATTCTGTGTCTCCCTCTCTCTCTCTGCCCCTCCCCCACTCATGCTCTGTCTCTCTCTGTCCCAAAAATAAACAAAAAACGTTGAAAAAAAATTAAAAAAAAATAAAATAAACTGCCTCACAAAATACATTTGGTTATTCAATACTTGTAGATGATTGCCAACTACTAAAAACTTTGAAAAGAGAGTTAATGCTGTGGTTCTTAGTGGATGATTTTACCCCAACTGGATACTTGGCAATGTCTGGAGCCATTCTTGGTTGTCACAAGCAAAGGAGGGGTTGGTGCTACTGGCATTTAGTGAGTAGAGGGCCTAGGGACACTGCTAAACACAGGCCAACCCCCACAACGAAGAAAATGTCAATAGTGCCCAAAGTTCAGAAACTGTGGGCTAAGTGAACACTAGTTACACATGAAAACCTGTGTTAATGCAGGACGTACAGTCCTCCTTTCTCTGGATACAAAGAGTAAGACAAAAGCATGAGTTTTGGAGTCCCAGATACCTGGGTTCTATTCTTGGCTCCATCATTTACTATAATGCAATCTTGGGCAAACAAGGTTATTTTTCTGTTGCAAAAGAGAGCCAGTTGCACTGATCTCTGTTACCATCAGGATCATAGGAGACAATATGTCAATACCCAGCATCTAACAGATGTATATTTCAAAACAAAGTGGGAAACTGTTACTTACAATCTAGAAGAGCCTAAGGACTCAATGTAATGGAATAACCTGATTGGGATCCCTGAACAGAGAAAGAACCTTAAGCAAAAATTAAGGAACTCTAAATAAAGTATGGGCTTCAGTTAATAATAAGAATGCATTAACACTCGTTCATTAATTGCAACAAATATACAATTCTAATATAAGATGCTAATAGTAAGGGAAAATGAGTAAAGCGCATATGGGAACTCTATATACTAACTTCGTGACTTTTTTGTAAATTAAATCTATTCTAAAATTTAAAAAATTTATTTAAAAAGTAAAAAAGGAAGGTATCTTTCTTCTTCCTTCCTCTGAACTAAGGGGACAGAGTTCCTACCTTCAAAGAGTTTATCCCTTACCTATTCACCTCACCTGATGATGTCAAGCTCCAAACAGTATTCAATAAATAAAGACTGTTAGCAGATAAGGCAAGATGTGTCACATACCAGAGGACTTAACTCTTCATCAGAAAATAGTATGTAAATCCTAAGTCATTTAGGATTTAAGATAATGTTAAGAATTATTTTTTTCAGGAGGTTTTAAAACATTACAGAATTTTCAAGACAAAGGAAAAGAACTACATCTATTGGACATTAACCAAAGCCTTATGAAAATAGATAAATGTAGAGAACGAGTTTGGGGTATTAAAATAGGCAGCTGTAACTAAGTGGGAAAAGCCTGCTGCTATACACTGATACCAATACACAACATTTTTACTGCATATTGGTTTTGATAGTTCAAAGTTTGTTTTCCTCTTATTTAGTATTAGAGATGTCATGCTGAAGACAGAGACTGCCTCTAAGAAGGTTGCAAGCAGGTAAAGAATGTAAAAGAAATCTCTTCTAATAAGAACAATTTTAAAATATGTTAAAAGAACTATCAATACAAGTAGGCACTGGCCCCTACTTTAATTCACACAGATTAATGAGATAGCATATGGGAAGTACTTTGAGCTCCCTGGAAAAGTGATACCTGGTGAATTCAGAGAATTGGGTTACAGTATAAAAGGAAAACAGGATAACATACCACTTTCTTATTTGTCTGTATTAAAAGGCAAGTATCTTTAAGGTATGTCCTGAAGGTTAGCATATGGCATTTATTTCTTCTACATAAATCAGGTCCCTGGTTGTTACAGCCCCTTTAAGGTGTGGAAGAGTTACTAATAGGTAGAGAACTAAGAGTAGAAAGCTGCTTGCCTGAGCATACAGAAAGGAAATAGCAAGGAACCAAGAAGCACAGGCTCCTATTACTGTGTTCCCTGGGACTGTGACAAGGCAACTAAAGGGTGGAAGAGGGATTAACAAATGCTAACAGGTAGGGTTCCAACCCTAGCAAGCACAACAGATGAGAAAAGGCAGTGGGCTTTTCTCTGCCCACTGTGCTGCTGTGCAGGACACTGGTCTTTGCCATGTGTTCAAATCTGCTAACCAGCCCTTTAGCTCTTCCCTCTGAAAGTCATCTACTTAATTTTGAATACTTGTTCGCTTATGCCATCTAAGAACCTGTTCACAAATGCCCAAAGCTCAGAACTGGTATTTCAGCTGTTAGAGAAGACAGGGTGCCATGTTTTTAATCATGTAAAATTTGGCAATTTCTTTCTCTCAGAAAGTAAGCCTAAAGATTTCCCAAGTCTGTTTCCAATACGATTTGACTTTGAATTCTCAAGTGATGAATATAAAACAACTCTTTTCACAATGTAAAACACAGAGAAATTCTGAATGTAGCCATCATATGCTTATCTGAATCCTTTAAATTGGGGAACAAGGTCAATATTATTCCTAAAGTAGTTCTCATCACAATTTATCATTAGAATTTTGAAGATTAAAAGGGGCATTAGTCATTATAAGTCAAACACAAGACTGGAGCCACTGAGATGCATCCATCTGACCTAAGTCAATTCACTGACTACTGTCACCTTGAGGAAGGAGCCAGTTTCACTGGTTGGTATTTTCCAAAGGAAAAGTTTTTGTCAGATAGGGAACCAATTTGTAGAACACCCTACAGAGCAGATGCAGAAGAGGGTGGGGGTGTAACTTCTCTAGAAAGTAAAAAAAAAAAAAAAAAAAAAAAAAAAAAAAAAAAAAAAAAAAAGAGCCAAGTGTTCTCTGGATAGTTTGTTGTGGTTTGTTTGTTTGTTTACTGAGTTGTAATATGCTAAGATCAGATTTTTAGAACTTCTCATCCATTCCATTCATTTGTTTGGACATTCAAAGAAAGAGGCTAAGCAAACTACTCTCAAAGCCAAGCCACGATTAAGCTGGTGGCAGAAATTCATCAACGTCTCTCCTAATGTCATGTAGCCATTTAAAAAAGTTCAAACTTCTATTCACTGAAATACTGCCCATCCAGAAAATAACGAACAAATATTTTTTTGCCAAGGTCCTGCCCGTTGAACAAGAGCCCAGGAAGTCTGGAGAATAGAGCGGGCAAGAGAGGCGCTCGGTTCCTGGCCATACTGTGGAGCCGAGGTTTGTGGCTGAGACAGAAGGCAAAGAGCCATACAAGTCCAGATAAACTTTCTACGAGTAACGACGTGGAGCCTATCTGGAGACCTAGTGAGAACGCCTGGCACGCAGCTGGCCACTGAAAAGCGCGCAACAAAGTTCAAGTTGGGGACTAAGTAGAAAGCTGGGCTGTGAGGACGGCAGGGTCGGACGGCTACAGCCCACCCGCGAGAGAGGGACCCAATTCGCCGACAAGCCTGGGCACTAGCCCGAGGGGGCACAGCTGCGTGGCGCCCGCTGGACCTCGCGGCGTGCCAGCCTCGCGCAAGAACCGCAACCTGAGCCCCCCAGCCCGCCCTGTGACCCCCACAAGTCCCGGACAGGGGTCTTCATCACCTACCTGGAGGCTTCTGCGCTGGGCTGTGGAGAGCTGAACAGTTCAGAGCCGCCGCCTTCTCCCGCACCGTGGCCATGGCCGTAGCTGCCAGGCCACCAGCTCTTCCGACAGCCGCACGGCGAAGTGCGCGCCCGCGCCCCGGCCGCCAGTTAACTGGCCCGGGACGGGGCGGGGCTCCCCTCAGGCCCCGCCCCCGGCCAGGCCCGGCCCGCCTTGGCCGCCGCGCGCCGCTCGACACTGGTCACGTGCCTGCAGGAGCTGCGAGTAACCTGCAGCGCCGCGGGGGCGGAAAAGGTTCGGCCCCGGGCGCCCCACCGCACCCACTTCCGCCCCGGACTGCACCGTTCTGCTGTGTTGGCGGGCGGTAGCCAAGTAGAGAGCATTTGTGTGTGGGAGCCGCGGGTCGGCGCCGGCACTCCCATCCCACCGCCACTCAGCGTCGCCCCAGCAGGAGTTAGCCCACCTGGGTGCAAACCACGACACGCCGTTGATGAGCTCTGAGGCTTAGCAAGTTGCTTAATTGCTCTGTGCCTGAGTGCCCTCACCTGTGGCGTAGAGTTTTGTGAAGATTACACAAACTAATTCATGTTAAGAATTTTAGTACTTGGTCCTGAAACTTTAGTGCTTAAAATTATGTCACGATGGTATTTGCGTCGAATTTTTCACGCATCCTTCTCTGAAAAAAAACAACAACAACAAAAACAAATCTTTATCTAGCCCAGGAGAGCAATGTTTAGAGGTCATAGTTAGGAGGGCATCTGGCTGGCCATGGAAAGAAAATCGGTGCCTCCTCCAAAGTAACTCTGGGTCAGGAGGATAGGGACAGAGTTTGCTATGAAAATGGAGTGAAGGCGAAAAAAGAAGGGAAGGGAGGATTGTCAATGGGAAGTTGCAACTAGGGAATCCAGGGGTGCCCTGCTGAGGTACTTCTGAAAGGGTGAAGGATCTAAGGGACCAATAATTCATTGCCAGATACATGCCTGGGTTTGTTTTATTTTGTTTTGTTTTTTTGCCCCAAATTTGGGTATTTTGTAATCATTTTAAAACTTTGGTACATATAATAAATATCTCGTTAAGGAGGATACCTGTGTGATCAGGTTATAAATTAGAATGCTTTTAGGTGTGAATTCATTACTTTGCTTATTGGAAGAAGCCCCTGCATGTGGTTTAGAGAATACAATTCTAAGAATATATACATGTGGTTGTTTCAAAGAATACATACTTAAGAAGCTGTGACCCAGAATCCCAATTTAGTGTGTGGGGCAGGGGCAATCTGAAGATTTAGAAAAGGTGCCAACTGGTTACTCCTTTTTTTAATGTGCTCTCTCCCCCTGGTGGTAGTAAAACCTGCCCTCAGGTCTGTTCAAGCAATTTCCTCTGTAATTTCTCAGTTGGTTCCTGCTGGCAGAGATAAGATACTATTTAGGACCTGTTTCAGGCATTCAACAGACCAGTTAGCTTTAGCCTGTCCCAGGCTGCATTAATGAATAAAAATACACGTTCAGTTAAAAAAAAAAAAAAAAGTGTGTGTGTGGGGGGGGTGGCCTGGGTAGCTCAGTCAGTTAAGTGTCCAACTTTGGCTCAGGTCATGATGTCTGGGTCCGTGAGTTCAAGCCCAGCTCTGTGCTGACAGCTCAGAACCTGAAGACTGCTTCAGATTCTGTGTCTCCCTCTCTCCCTTCCCCTCCCCTGCTTTCTCTCTCTCTCAAAAAAAGTAAACATTAAAAAAATACACGTTCAGGGTCACCTGCGTGGCTCAGTGTGCTGAGGGTCCAACTTCAGCTCAAGTTATGATCTCACCTTCACCGTTCATGAGTTCAGGCCCAGCATCGAGCTCTGTCCTTTCAGAATGAGCCTGCTTCGGATCCTCTGTTCCCCCCTCTCCTCCTGCCTGCACCTCCCGGACTCATTCTCTCTCTCCCCAAAATGGATAAACATTAAAAAAAAAAAAGTTCATCCTCATCGCTTGGGAGAGAAAAAGCTCATACTATTTTTGAAAACAAATCTTGACAAACACTAGTATTGGGTCTTTTGAAAAAGTCAGGTGACCTTGATGATTTTGATAATTTATATAACATTTCAAATAATTTTTACCAGTTTGTGCTTTATTTGTTTATCTCACCTGAGATGCTGTATTTCTTTTTCCTGACCTAACCACATTCTATGCACCCTGGAGGCCTAACTCAAATCCCACCATCTTCACTGGACAGATTGTACTCTGATGTGTTTCTTTTCTGACCACCAATGGCACTTACCAATTACGTTATTATTTAGTGCTCCCTCCCCCAGCTTGAACAGATCTTACCTAATTATTTAAGCACACACACATTGATTGCCTAACAAAATTGGAAAATTGTCAAGGGCAGAGAGCATTTTCTTTCTTTCTTTCTTTCTTTCTTTCTTTCTTTCTTTCTTTCTTTCTTTCTTTCTTTCTTTCTTTTTAAATTTACATCCAAGTTAGTTTGCATATAGTGCAATAATGATTTCAGGAGTAGATTCCAGTGATCCATCCCCTATGTATAACACCCATTGCTCATCCCAACAAGTGCCCTCCTTAATGCCCCTTACCCATTTAGCCCATCCCCCCATCCACAACCCCACCAGCAACCCTGTTTTGTTCTCTGTATTTGAGTCTCTTATGTTTTGTTCTCCTTCCTGTTTTTATATTATTTTTGCTTCCCTTCCCTTATGTTCATCTGTTTTGTATCTTAAATTCCACATATGAGTGAAGTCATATGATATTTGTCTTTCTCTGAGTGACTAATTCCACTTAGCAGTCAGAGAGCATATTTTAACCTTTCCGATTTCTTTTAGTATCTAGTGTTACGCATATAATAGATCTCTTAATTATCCTTATCAAAATACAGTCTTAAAAAAAATCAGCTTTGCAACATAAGTGTCCATCAATAGATGAGTGGATAGAGAGGATGTAATATATATATATATATATTTTTTTTTATATTATATATATTTATAAATATATATTTTAATGTATTATGTATTTAATATATATGCACACACAATGGGATATTACTCAGCCATAAGAAAGAATGCGATCCTGTCATTCATGGCAACATGGATGGAACTAGAGGGTATTATGCTAAGTTCAATAAGTCAGAGAAAGGCAAATGCCATATGATTTCACATATAGATAGAAAAAACAAAATAAAAAACCAAATTGAAATAACTTAAAAACAAAATAAATGAACAGACATACAAATAAATAAAATGTTTATTCATTTAGGCTATTACAAAGTCTTAAAAGCTTAAAGAGTAAATATACATGATGCTGAAAATATCCTCTTCTGTTACCTAGGAGGAACATTTTTTTTCACAGGTAGTTTGCATTATTTGGTTTAGATTAATGTCAGTTCAAATGAGTGCATTCAACAAGTTTGAATCCATCACTCATAATTTAGAAAAAAAATTTAGATTTGCATGTCCTTACAATGGCCTTTTTGACCCTGGGTCTATCAGGACTTTAAAGATACTCTAGGGGTGCCTGGCTGGCTCAGTTGGAAAAACATGCAACTCTTTGATCTCAGGATTGTGAGTTTGAGCCCCACATTGTGTGTAGAGATTGCATAGACAAACAAATTAATTAAATAAAATAAAGATACTTTAAAAATCGCAGTCTAGGGGCATGTTGCTGGCTGAGTCTGCAGAACATGCAACTCTTGATATTGGGATTGTAAGTTCAAGCCCCATGGTGAGCATAGAGCTTACTTAAAAAAAAAAAGAAAAAAAGAAAGAAAGAGAAGAAAAATAAACATCATAGTCTAAAATAAAAGTTTCAATAAAATATTCTGACAATGGTTTCTACCATTACACACTTTTAAAAAATGCACATAAGTGGGGTGCCTGGGTGGCTCAGTTGGTTAAGCATCCAACTTTGGCTCAGGTCATGATCTCTGGGTCCGTGAGCTCGAGCCCTGCGTCGGGCTCTGTGCTCACAGCTCAGAGTCTAGAGCCTGCCTTGGATTCTGTGTCCCCCTGCCTCTCTGCCCTTCCCCTGCTCTCACTCTGTGTGTGTCTCTCTCTCAGAAACAAACACTAAAAAAATTTTTTAATAAAAAATAAAAATTAAAAAAAAATGCAGATTCATGTCTTCCACCCCACTTTTTGATTTCTTGCTTCTGGGGTGGTGTCCCTGACAGTCTTCATCATTTTTTAACTATGGTAAAAATAGACAAATCATCATATTTAACATGTATCACTGATATGCAGAATGCAGAATGTCAGTGAACCACATTTTGAGAAATACTTCTCTAAAATCTCAAAGTTTCCTTTTCCCTGATAGGACATTTTTCATAGGTTAGAAGTTCCAAGACTGCAGGAATTTTTGTCTTTTCACTGCTATATCCTCAGTACTTAGTTCAGAACCTAGTTCATAATTAGCTCTTAACAATTTTTGTAAATGCCTGAAAAAAATAAAATATTTCAGATGCAGTATCAAGAAAAATATGTATAATTTTCTGTATACATAGTTTACTTGATATAATGGTATATCCTAAGCTTTCTGTTTTAAGAAGCATAAAAGTTTTAATGTAAACTTCTGTACAATTTTACTTGGAAAGTTAAATCATAGAAGATTGAGTACCAAATTGGTATTTTAAAAAAATTTTTAATGTTTATTTAGTTTTGACAGAGAGAGACAGAGCGTGAGTGGGGGAGGGGCAGAGAGAGAGGGAGACACAGAATCCCAAGCAGGCTCCAGGCTCTGAGCTGTCAGCACAGAGCCCAACGTGGGGCTCAAACCCATGGACCCCGAGATCATGACCTGAGCTGATGCCGGATGCCTAACCAGCTGAGCCACCCAGGAGCCCCTAAAATTAGTATTAGTAATGACTTGCCATTCATGTGATTTCAAATACAGGACTTTTAAACTTTTCTTATTAGTTGAAAGCTGTGGGTGCTATGGAAGAATTAGAATAAACTATGTTTATCATAAGTATTCTGTAGAAATATGTTATCCACAGTCCACCCACCCCCTTTGTTCTTTATGTTGACCATAAATCAACAATGGCCTTTCTCATGGAACAGTGAAATACACTAAATGGTTGTTTTATTTTTTGT